CATCACCAGGATGGAATGCTGGACAGTTAACCTTGGCGAGAAACTCTCTTCTTCCACATGCGCAGTAAGATGGTCAAACAGCTTTATATCCATAAATGCAGTCTTTAAAAGAGAAATGTCTGTTCAATTTAAAATGTTTCACAAGAGCATTTACTGGCTATGAAATTCAATTATTTCACATAAAGTCCATTTTGTTTGGCATATTAACTATGTATTAACAAAAGATTTATCCAATACATTGATTTTCCTTTTAATAATGCATCTTTCAAATTTGGTTAGAAAACAATTTTGCAGGATATGTATCCACTGTACCTTGCAACAGATTTAATTTTAAAAGCAGATATTCAGTAGGGAAATGCAAATTATGTAATTAACTTTTTCCAGGTATGAAATGCTATATGTTCAAGCTGAACATTGTAAACATTTTGTAACTGCATCTCTTTCTGCACATGATGCAAAAGCTTTAATTACTTGTAACACTGATTCTATTTAGAGAGGAATAGACATTCCATATACAAAATGTTTACTCCAAAATACTTTCAAATAACTAATATCCACCGTAGCAAAAAGTGTTAACTATATATTTAAAAAAGACTATAAACTGAAAATAACCCAAACTCCATTTCAATACTGATAGTAATTTGGGAACTAGAACAGGATTCTCTGGCATTTTTGACAATTAGTGTTCTAAAGGTAGAATATTTGTTAGTGTCTATTTTAGTTCTGGATAATGGAGGGGACCCAAAGGATTATCTTTCAATTGGTGAGCATATAAAGGATTATCTTTCAATTGGTGAGCATATGCTCTTTCCAATGTAACTTAGAGCCTAGAACTTTTGGATGGTCAACTACAAACTTAAAGCCTAGTCAGAAATGCAGCCTGCTGGCTGCACCCAACAAACTGATTTGCACAATATACAATGAGAGTTTGCTTTTTGAATACGAGAAACATCATGATTCTTTTTAAACAAAGGGATCTAATAGTGTTCTAAATTCAGTTTTCCTTCCCCAAACAGTTTTGCCATAACAACTGATTTTTCAAAAGTATCTTGCTAAAATTATCTTTAAAAAAATTAAAAGCACCTTTCTTCATTTTCTTTGTTTCCATGAAAATCTACAAAAGAGGCACAAGGAAACATTTGCCTTCTAGTCATTACTGCTGTTCCATTCCTAGCAGTCTTAGCCATCATTGACAGTATTTAAGTGACTATGGGAGTTCAACATCTAGAGGTCATAAATTCCCTATCCTCTTTAAGGAAAGGAAAGCATTTATTTAAAGTAGATGTAAACTAATGAGCTAAAATAATTATTCTTATCGCCTGACATTAACAATTTACTAGTTTTAAATAACATAGCTATTACCCAGTTGGCAATGGGAAGAATTCAACTACTGCCAGAAGCTAAAAAGTAGACTAAATTGGGTGTCTGAATATCATAACTCTGTTCAATTGTACAATATAAATTAGCAAGTTTATAGCCTATGTATTTATATAATGTATAAGAGTTACTAATTGAATTATTGGAAACAAAAGAAATACATGTTTGCATATAACAAAATCTAGAAAGGCCCTTGACTCTGTGCATTAGTTCCCACACAGCAAAAGTAAGAGGGAAAACATTCTGATATCTTCTGTCATCCAGAGAAAGAAGGGCTGCGGAGTCAACTATAGTCCAATAAGAGCATTGGTTGGAATTTTATTTATGGAATTTTCAATTGTATTCATGTACTTTCAAACTCTTACTTTTACCTCCACCTTTCCACTTCACTGTTTCTTTGAGTATTTTTTAGGTACAATTAGCTATTTAAATCAAAAATAGTATTCAGTGTGCTTAATGATATTAGGACAATAAAATACAAATGAAGTTAAGATTGAAACGTTAAAATTCAGCATTAAAAATCATACCAAAGGAAGATGTGTATACACACACAAACAAACAAACACGCACACACACAAACGCACCATTGGTGGGTTCCAGATCCTGTTGCAACCAGTACAGTGCAATGGGGCCGGGAGCCCACCACATGAACAGCCACAGCGTGCAGCATGCGCATGTGTATTTGCTGCCTGCGATGCTCCGCGACACTCCAACTGCTCAGCGGAGCATCACGCAGGTGCCGTGCGCTTCATGAGCCTGCGTGGAAGCTCTGAAAACTTCAAATACCAGTAAGGAGGGCAGGTGGGCCCTCTGGAGCACTGTACCGGAATGGTACCTGGTGCTCCCGGCAGGCACCAGTACACCCGTACTAGGGCATACTGGTCGTAACCCATCACTGGCACGCACTCACATACACCCTCTCTCTCTCTCTCTCTCTCTCTCTCTCTCTCTCTCTCTCTCTCTCTCACACACACACACACACACACACACACACACAGACACAGACAGACAGACACACACACACACACACACGAAAGAGGTTTAAGAATCCTGGGGACTGGGTGTTTCTCAGGAAGAATAAAATGTTTAAAAATAAATTCTTTTGAATATAGATTATAAATTACACAAGTCATAGATAATTTGAAGATGACTATAACACTGGCAGTCCAATGTTGAAAAGTGTAATTAAAAAGTCAAACTTTTTAAGATCAGAAACCAATTAACAAAATATGTACAGGTGGTACTTGACTTATGACCAGAATTGAGCCAAAATTTCTATTGCTAAGCGAGACAGTTGTTAAGTTAATTTTGCCCCATTTTACGACTTTTCTTGCTACAGCTGTTAAGTGAATCATTTCAGTTATTCAGTTGATAACAGAATTGTTAAGTGAATCTGGCTACCCCATTGACTTTTCTGGTCAGAAGGTCACAAAAGGGGATCACTTGACCCCGGAATACTGCAGCCATCATAAATATGAATCAGTTGCCAAGTGTATGAATTTTGATCATGTGATCATGGGGATGCCGCAGCGGTCATAAGTATGAAAAACAGTCAGGTAACTTTTTAAAGTTACGTTATAAGTTTGAGTGGTCATTAAATGAACTGTTGTAAATTGAGGATTACCTGTAGGCCTCAATAAATAAAAATGAGATCTATCTGAAATCAGATAAATGTTTTAAAAACAGTGGGATGGAATAGCAGTAAATTCAATTCAGAATATATTTTATTAAAAAAAACAAGGTACTTATTTCGGAAGGTCCTGCACTCTGACAAAATTGTCAATTTACTCTTTCATATCTCTAGAAACTGCACTGATTCCTTGTGCAATAAAAGCACGGGAAACACTTTCCTGAAGGAAAATTGTTCGCTGCAGTTTTAAATATATGAGACTGCGTCCTCTAAACTCAAAGTTAAGAATACATGATCTCAACCATTCAATTGTATTATAGGTATTAATATATTTCTGTACATTCATGGTCATATGATTATAACATGGTTAATAATGTATCTGAGCATTCAAGTTTAGTTCCTGATGATGTGCATAAGATTTTTCTTTGCAAAATTATGGAAATGAATTACCATTATGTTCCTCAGAGATTTCCCCCCCTCCCTCTTGTTCTCCAGTCTACAGTTCCAGGAATTCTTAGTAATTTCTTGTCAAAATACTTACCAGGTTTTGAGATAAATGTTAGAGAGATGCTGTCACCTAGCTGTGTGTACCACAATTACACTTTCCTGTCTTAAGTACATAAACCAGATGTAAACAGTGTGTATTGACTGACATGTTAGTGATTCCTTCAGGTTTTTTAAGGGATCATCCATATGCTATTTATTTAATATTATGCACATAAATGTTAACTATACAGTGCAAAAAGAAAGAAAGAAAGACAGAAAGAAAGAGGAAGCATTCTGTTTCTGAGAAAAGAAGATCCTCTTAGAATAACTGCAGATGTTGTACTAGCGACTGTCTGAGATAGCAACTCTGTTCCATTAAATTGAAGTTTGCAAAATGTTTGGGGCCCTGACCTGGAATAGATAATGCTCCATACTCTTGACAAGACACTTATCAGCATGATGTTACAAATGGATGTCCCCTAAGTGGTTTTGCATTAACTCTAATGTATTCAGTCATTTTGTTTGGCTAATTAGCATTTCTCTCTCTTCTTTTCAGGGTTTTGAAGATCCAAAAGACAAGTAAGAAAAGGGAACATTAATTATTCTTTTTTATTGAAATGTGTGAAGTTTGTCACTGTACAAAATAGAGTACTATCTTATTTCGGTGCTTTTCTTTGCCGTAATTTTTCTCCATAAATACTCATTAGAGGTTAGACTACATCATATCACCCTGCCACTGATTTTATCTTTTATTCTTTAATGTAAGCTTTAATAATTAATTATACAGATCCTTAATTTATCTAAAATACATCCCAAAAAATCAAAAGAAAGGCTTATAACTTGAAACGTTTTTTTATAAAATGAGGACAATTGAAGGGTAGTAGTGGTGAAGTAGTGGACAAAGCTTGCAAATGCTATTATTTAGTCCATTTTCAAAAAAAAATTAAACTAGACCTATATAGTTGTTCAATAAATCTTGATTTTAAAAAGGTGGTTTGGTTTTCAAAAAACAGCATAGATTGTTGTAATTAAGTAGTTTTACATACTTAGAGGCTATATCTCAAAATAGTAACCAAGCAGTTGTTTCCATTCCATCCCTCCTTTGTGACACATCTAGAGTCTTATATCCATTTCAAATTGCACAAAAATGGATGACTGAGTAGGAAAGTTATAGGAATCCTTTAATTCATCTCTGTATATCCATATATGTTTGGCCATCTTCCTTGCTGATTGCTGATTATAGTCTATAAAAGGCTGTGGAAAATGCCTTCTACATCTTGGAAGTTTAAAACTTGGAGTTTTCAATTTGTACAATAGTTTTTCGATTCACCTGTAGGATGTAATTTATTGGACATCGTATTTTGAGCTTGTAGTAAATTGGCTATTTCTATTCAAAGTAGAAGAGAAGAAAGGATAGTTCACCAGATCCTAGAGTTATATGAATATGGGAATATAGGTGATAAAAAACATTAAATAAACATATCCCCCTTTCTTATTGTTTTGTGTCAAGATGCCAATTTCCATGAATGTCAAAGGACATATTTACATCAGAAAACCTGGGCATCTTTTTTTCCCTTTTTCCTTTTAATTTTTGGTCATGTAGTTTTGGAAGGAGAAAGCCTAAACAAATTTGAAAGCAAAAATATTCTTGGCACTCTGACAAAATGATAATTGGATAGACATACTGGAAAAACCTAGAATACAAAATGAATTGTCATATTATGTTATTGTTACATAAGTTTGAAAACCGCTGGTTGAATAACTATGAAATATTATAAGAGAATATATGCACTTTCTTACCCATAGAGGGAAAAAAGGAGTCACAGTTTGCATAAGGAATCTTATGTATTACATAAGATAATCAATTTAATTTATGAAAGAAAACAGTTATATTATATCTTATGCCTTTGAGTCAGTTTGATTCCTGTTGATTACATACACAGGCAACATCTGTACATTTTTCACAGGAACATTTTTTTTTGCCTTCTTCCTAGGGCTAAGAGAGAGGGAGTGGCCCAAGGTCACCCAGCTTTCTGTTGGTTTAACCCAGTGTTTTTCAACCACTGTGCCGCGGCACACTAGTGTGGCCATGACATAGTGTAAGGTGTGCCGTGGGAGAATTACTTTATATATAGTCAATATAGGCACAGAGTTAATTTTTTTTAACATTTTCTAATGGTGGTGTGCCTCGTGATTTTTTTCATGAAAAAAGTGTGCCTTTGCACAAAAAAGGTTGAAAAACACTGGTTTAACCCATACAGCAAACTAGCGCTTGACAATTACCTTAAAGTGTTCAAAATTATGCTATTAAAGAGAGAAGTTAAAAGTGTTTATTCAGGATAAATATAATGTCAGTATAATTTCTTCCTTTTAATATATTTTGAACACATTTTTAATAATTAAAAATTTTCATTTATCCCTTCCCTTCTTAATTCTCCATTTGTTTTAGTTTTATGCTAAAAGGTGTGTAAATAGTATGGTAACTAACATTGCAGGAAGTTTAATTAGGAAACATTTTCAGAAGCATACCCTTCTGTTGCTAATTTACCATTAACAAGAGAACTTTCTCTAAAAATTTGATGAATTGGGATTGATGCCAATTTAGACTTCTCTAATGTAACAGTCTTCTCTGTTTTGAAAAAAGTTGGCTTAAAACTAGGGTCTTGCATTCACAGATGGAACGGTTCCTTTGGATTGCAGAAGGTGTTTGATTGAATAGACCAATTCTGTTGGCAGAAAGGAGAAAGAAGTGATATTTTTAGATTTCCCCTTCCTACTGCAATCCCCTGCCTTCCAAAAAACAGAGTCTGCATCTGCATTGAACCCAATTCGGTGTTTTTAGACCAAAAATCTTTCTTTTGACATGAGCATTATTTTTTGTTTTAATTAAAATTCTTGCTTAATAAAAATAAGGCATATTTTAATTTTTTTTCACGTTATCCAGGAGAATGCTCTACCTGGGATTACTTCTCTGTTAACCTACATCAATCCATATTTATGAAAATAAGACTGATTTTAATAAACAAAGAACATGTTTGGGTTGCTGTTGCCTATATTATGTATGCCAACTAAATTTGCAATGACAGCTGGCAAATTTCGGAGACCAGTTGTCTAGCATGGGCGAAGAATGGCAGAGAGACAGAGAACTCCAAAATAATCAGACGAGTGACTGCCTAATTAAAGATATTTGTTAGTTGTTGTTTTTTAATTGTGGCAATGCCAAAGAAAATGTAATGAGTGCTATATTGGCTCTGAAAATCTACAGTGAATAATTGAAGAACTGGACCAGACTACCATTTATTAAAACATCTTGTGATTTATACTAAATTGCCACCTTCTTAGGAATAAAATAGTTCTTAGAAGTTTCACAGAAGGTTAAGGCAGAATATTTTAAATTCTGCAACGGGTATGCCTTTTAATGTCTTCCATTACATCCAAACCAGTGATGAATGTAGCCTACAAAATTCTTCGTCCTTTCTGACAAAATATGTCTTCAGAATAAAAATAGTTTTTGAAATCCTTAATTAGATGATTGAAGTGTGCATGAGTACTGCTTCTGTACATTACAGTTTATAGAATCCTGAAGGAGAATATGGCTGAAGGGGGTGAAGATTCATTGCACAGGTAGTCCTGGACTTATGACCATTCATTCAGCAACTGTTCAAAGTTACGATAGTACTGAATGACCAATCCTTGGTTTTCTAGCCATCCCAGCATCCCAAAGTTACTTCATTGCAATCTGGGCATTTGAAAACCAGCTGGCACATATGAGTGCTGCACCCCACTATCACATGATTGCCATTTGCAATATTCACTGCTTACTTCTGCAGAAAGTCAATTGGAAAGCCGACAGGGAAGTTACAAGTCGCTCCGATAAGTCATCCTCACCCATGCTCTCTCCTCCAGCAGCCCCTCTCCACTTGGCTTGTGGTGGCCACTCACACACCCCTGTGCATCTTCCCAAACAAACCCGATCCTCCACTTGCTCACCACTATGTGAGGCTTGCCACACCTCCCTTGCTCCCTCACACACCTTCCTCAAGCCTCAATATGTCTCCCTTGAGTGCCCCCACACACACTCTCATGCACACTCCCTTACCCTCATTACACCTCCCTCATGCTGTCGTGCATCCTCCCTGACTCTTGCACACTCTCCTTGACCTTTCCAGGTCTCCCTCGTGCATCTCTGTGCATCCCTTTGCACTCTTTCACACACAGCAGCAGCTACTTGCCTGCCAGCCTGTTTGCAAGCTGTCTGGAACTCACAAGCTTCCTGGATCTTCCCTTCTGGCTTCCCCATTGATCTGTTTGTAGGAAGGCAGGAGGAAGTTGCCTCACCTAAGAACTTCGTTAGAGTGACAACCAGGATTGCCAGAGTGTCATTGCTAAGTGATGTGGCTATGTTTTGTGACAGAAATTCTGGTACCAATTGCCATCATGTCGAGTATTCTATCTTTCTCCCACTTGCTCCAGAGGCAGTGTAGAGGTGGGGTGGGGTGGGGGGAGATGTTGCTACCTGGGGGGGGGGAGATACCTCTATTGTCACTTTTAGAATGACAAGCCCCCCAAAAAAGAACTCAAGAGAAGAAAAGTTTGAATAAAGGAGTGAGAGGCTAAATTACACATCATGGTTATAAATATTATTGTATGAATTTCCACCACATTTTTTGTCAACCCCCTGGGTGAGTTGGGTGCCTTGTGTCTGCTGTAGAAAAAGGAGCCAAAGAATTGTGACATAGCAGAGATGTTCCTAAGAGTGGGATCTTACATCTGGTTTGTCTTTAAGTAACAACTTTAAGAAACTTTATTTTGTGTAAACACCACTTAATTGGCCTCTACTTTATTCTGTTGTTCTAGGAATATCCAGGAAAGCATGAATCCAGAAGATGAGGTGGATGAGTTTCTGGGTCGTGCAATTGATGCAAGAAGTATTGACCGGTTACGTTCAGAGCATGTTCGCAAGTTTCTGTTAACGTTCAGGGAGCTTGATTTGGAGAAAAAGGTAAACTTCCATAAGGATGTATGGGTCTGTTAAATCCACTAGCAGGAGCAAAGTAGACCTCAGGGCAGAAAATTAGTGTGCTTAATCATAGTTCTGTGTAAAAATTTATATGAATGTCCAGAAGAGGTACCAGAAGAAGAAAATACAAATTGGAGCCACTTTTTGCATTGGGTCTTCCGGCCCACCAACAGTTTTACCTCAGAAATGCTGTTGATTTCCCATCCCCCTCAAAAACCCATTTTCAGTAGACAAGTGTATGGAAAATTGGAAATGATGAAAAGTGTGACAGTTCAACACTTTAGGCATTTATACTGTAAGTAACAATTATTTACTTGACTATCATGAACTACATGCATACATACATGTATGTGTGTATTGTATGTATTATTAAATAGGTTTTCCTACAAACTAAAAAAAATACAAACTTTAAGTTAAAGATAAGAGAAATAGAGAAGAGAAAAGTGAAAAGGAAAAGAAGGAAAAAGAAAAAAATAATAAAAAAGTAGGTCCAGTCTTCTTAACAGCAGTCATAAATATATTTATATTATACTTTCTGTGTCTTGAAGATATAGAATTTTCCTTTCTATAATCTACCCATTCTGATAATAAAAACCATAAATCATCCATTCATTTTTTTTTATTTTTTCAGCAAAAAGTCCATATGGAGTTTCTAATAATTAATAAATTCAATAATTGATCTTTCTCTAAGCAAACAAATTAATTTTGCCATCTCTGTTCTGTTATTTTTATCAACCATTCTTCCATTGTGGGAATTTTGGAATCTTTCTATTTTTGGGTATATAGTTGATTCACAGCAAGGATCATATAAAAACAATTTCCCATATTTTTCCCCTATAAAATGCTTTTGTGCTAAAACTCGGAATGCCACGGAATGTTTATATCTACACAATACTCTCAGTATTCCAATATTCTAACATAATGTTCAGAAGGCAACTGGATTTTCTTGTTTTGCATGAAGAGGTTTCTCTTCTTATTCAAGAACTTCTCTAGTTCTGACTGAATGGTGGAAAATGGATGGATTTATATTCCTTACGGCCGTCTGGCTGTTAGCCTTCTTCCTGAGAGTCCTTGAGGCCACTTAGAGGTTTATCTGTGCCCTCACCTGAATCCTGTAAGCCATTTTTTTTCTGGAAATCTGTTCATACTCCTGCATCATTTGAAGGGTGTTCATCCCAAAGTGCATAGCTAAATGTCGAACGGTGCAGAAATATGAAAAGAGGTCTTTGTTTGTCTTTTATCCAGAAAGACACTTGCAAGGCAAAAATCACCACGGGCCACTGTTCACAGTTTTCAGTGCCATCTCTGCCTCAGCAACTAGAAAAAAGTTACTTTTTCATATTGGCAACAAGTTTATGTTGTGAACAGTCTCTTTTCAGTAGAGGTAATGTTCAAAAGGTTTTTGAAAGAGGTGGTCTTGCATTAAATATAATTAGCTTATGAACTTTTACCTCCTTTCCAAGCAGTTCAGATATCTATAAAGATGATTGCTTCAGAAATCCCTGCTACCAATCTGAAAACCTTTTGGTCAGTGTCCAGGGAATCTTATAGCTCAGTCAATGCAACAAGCCAAATTTGCTAAGAAGGGCTTGTAATAAAAGGCAACTAATGGCTCTCATAAAATTGCTAGATTACACTTTAGAACATCGTTGACTATTGATCTACTACAGGTGGTAGGACTGGGATTCAACAACATCTAGTAGATCATAAATTGTTGCCTATGAATTGGAGTTTTCAGACTTTTTTTAAAAAATGGAATGGTTTTTTTTCATTGCAGTATTCCAAACAGGTGGATGATCGATTTGGTGCATATGTGGCTTGTGCTTCCCTAGTCTTCCTCTTCATTTGCTTTGTTCAGATCACAATAGTGCCACAGTAAGTAGATCTTTGTACATTTGCTTATCTAATATTTATCTACTGTCTGTCTGTCTGTCTGTCTGTGTTTGCCTTTATTGCACTAAAGCAAGATCGGATAGCACTGGTGGCCCTTAAACCCTTTTTATGGTTCTTAAAACATTCATTGCCTTTTGTACTAAATCTCGGTGGCACAATTGTCCAAAATGAGCAGCACAGTATTTCATCATTGGGAAGCTTTCATTTTAAAACAAGAATTATAAATAATAAATTATGAGAATTATAAAAGTAGGAATAGATGACAGATAGGTAGAATCTTTATGAATCTTTCCATTTGGAAATGTTTAATTGATACAAAGACTTTTAAAAAGTTGAACTTTGGAATTTTTACTCAACTGCTGTTCAGAACAGTTTTAGTCCTATTAACTATGCAAGATACATTCTCCAGTAGTCTGTGCAAGATACATTCTCAAGCAGCATCCTGAACACATTAATCTCCATATTTTGAATACATTTGGCAGAAGAAGCTGTGGGTAAGTCCCTTCAACTGTAGGCAAAGGATCTTGAGAACTTCAGGTTGGGTGGAACTGTTACAAATAATAGGGATGTTTTGTACTTGTACAGGAAAGCAAAGAAGGGCTTCTGAAAACAAGGAGTCATGAATTTGTGAAATGCAGGGTTAAGCCACCATTGTAAAGATCCTGCTTTATCTGGCTTTTTTAAACTAGGAAAGTAGGATCAGAAATGAAGAAAATTGTTAATAGTGAGGGATAGGATCTTTGTCAACTTTGACCTGATTAGTACTCAGATGTTGAAAAACATATCATACAGATGTTGAATGGAACTGATCCCTTCTAAGCTGGTTTCAGGAAAGGGAGATAAATGAGTATGTCAAGATTCCTCCCTTTTCCCAAGGGAGGAGTCAATGTAGAGAGAGCCGAGGTGGCGCAGTGGTTAAATGCAGCACTGCAGGCTACTTTAGCTGACTGCAGTTCGGCTGTTCAAGTCTCACCGACTCAGGGTTGACTCAGCCTTCCATCCTTCTGAAGTGGGTAAAATGAGAACCCGGATTGTTGTTGGGGGCAATATGCTGACTCTGTAAACTGCTTAGAGAGGGCTGAAAGCCCTATGAAGCGGTATATAAGTCTAACTGCTATTGCTATTGCTAACTGCTATAATGTAATACACTGGGCATCAGTGTAATAGATTCAGCCTTTCTCCCATCTGCCCCTTGCCATCTAAGGAGGCAGGAGATGCTTGGTGAAGGAGAAAATGTGGGAAGAGGAGGGAGGGATGTTCAAGAAGAAAAGAGATGGGAAGAAGAGTGGTTGCCAGGAAAATGGAACAGCTTGCCTTCAGAAGTTGTAGGTGCTCGATCATTGGAGGCTCTTAAGAAGAGACTGGATAGCCACCTGTCTGGAATGGCATAGAGTCTCCTGCTTGAGCAGGCTGTTGGACTAGAAAATGTCCAAGGTCCCTTCCAAATGAAATCTGCTTCAGCTGATGCTCTCCAAGTATGCCTGCCCTACCTTACCCATGAAACTTCTCAGGTCTGTAACTATCACTGTGAACTCTTGTGTTAGAGCACAAAAGGCAGAACTGATTCAAAAAGCATCAGTAATCAAAGCTGTATCATTTACATTTTAGAGGGCTTCATCTAGGAAAACTAAACGTAAATCCAAATGAAGCTTGCAGCTAAAGTCAGCCTGCTCTCTGCACTGAATACATGATTAAAAGGGATTAAAGTGCTTTCTTCTCAATGAGTTCAGCGTCTTGGAATCTTTATATTACAGATACGTGATTTTCATTGAATGACTACTTTCACAGGATTAGATGGGTGGTCAATAAATTTTATAAATAAATATAACAAAAACACATTGACACAGCCATTTTACCTCAGACAATAAATTAAATCACAAGAAGTTTCATAAAAGTATAAGATAGCAGATTACAGTTGTAAACTAATACATTAATTTATATAATTATTAAGACCTATTCATGGAAATAGAATAAGTATATATTTATTAATAGGTAACAAAACAATTTTTAAGGGATGTCGAGATAAAAGCAATTATATTTAAATGGATTAAGTGGGAGGTGGACTTGAAACTGTACCTGCATATGGTTATGCAGAAGATTATACATTCTGCATAAGCCAACAACTCTGCAAAGCTTTGGGCTTAATTCAGAGCCCTACAAAAGTTGCCTAAAATCTATGATTTTAGTCTATATGAAGAAAAATATTAAATGAATGGAAGTAATTGTGATAATTAAGAACCAGTTTGGCGTAGTGGTTAAGAAAATAGGCTATAAACTGAGAGACTGGAAGTTCAATCAATCCCACTTTATTTATTTATTTTTTAATTTTGGAAAAAAATTAAACTCAGTCCCACTTTAGATTGTCTTGAGCCAGCCATTCTTTCTCAGCCCTAGGGAGGAGGCAACGACAACCTACATCAATAACCCACTATAACCCACAGTTTCCTAAAAAAAGGTATCAAGAGTTAGGACTGCATCATTTTTTATGTTCTATGAGCTACACTCCCCAAAATCAGTAGGGTATGTACAATTGTTAAATTAATACAAAAGGTCTCAAAACCAGATGAGAACAACAACATTATCATTTTTGGGAAGTTTAGATGAAGAGTCTCTGCCTAATAAAGACGATTTTTTCAGAAATGATTTTCTTACCTACATTTTCCCTCTTGTCAGTTTTATATTCTTAGGGGAAAATTCCTGGCATTATATCTTTATCGCAAGCAATATTTCAGCCATAAAATATCAGGTCAGATGCAACATAAAATGTTGCTTTTAGAAACTCGAATATTCTCTGAGTAGTGAAGGAATAAGGAAGGGATTGTGGGCACAAAATGCAGCACTCGCAAAATGGTTTATAGGATTGACTGTGTTGCTCAACTGATAGGGGAATAGATGCTTTATAGCACTGAATATACTTTGAAGGGGGCTTTGAAATTTAGTGGGGGGGGGGTTGCAAATGTTGCAGTGATCATTCCATTATGATCAACAGGAATGCCAGGAAAGTGGTGAATAAATTAGCAAGTAGAAGTGCTCTTTGTAGTTAAAAAGAGTTTGAAACCCTGCTGGCTTTCACTGAGGTTAGCCTTAATGTTCCTGAGCTTGATAATCATTGTAGTTGAATTATGGATGAGGTTGCATGGCAGAAGGAATGCAAGCCTGCTCAGTTTGTAGATTTTGTACATAATAAGTCAGAAAAATTGTCAAGATAAAATGTATATGTATATATGGCAATGATGTTCAAAACTGAAATGGCAGATAACTCTAAATAAAAATCTAAATATAGTTTAGCTCCAATGGTCATTAGAAATGCCTCTGAAGGCAGCAGAATTTTTGGTGGCACACAACCACTTTTGCTCTGGTATCCTTTTGACTTTCTACAGTCATTTTTTCAGAGTAGGGAGACAAGGAGGAATGATGGAGAAATAAGAATATTGACAGCTTACCCACTATTGCTTGCGCTATAAAGAATTCGTACATGATTCCAGCAAGATACTGCAATAAAATATTGTCTAATGGGATATATAAAGGCAGGTTTCTTGCTTCTCCGAGGCTTCAAAATGTGTGGTTGAATTATTATCCTTAGTGTCCGCTACCATTTATCAAACTGCTGGGGCTTATGAGTCATTATAGTTCAGCAGTAACTGAAGGGCTTCATACCCCTGGTTTGCTTCTTGCTGCAGACATCTCTGTAATGGCAAGCTTATATAAAATACCTCAGAGAATGGTATTGACATTACCAACCTGATTCTTGCTGATTAAGAAATCCAACAAATGAGTTTTCCCATTCTCTTAATTGCATTATAGAATTTATGTGAAATTATTTCCCTTCTCATCTCTTTGGATCAAATCCCCTTTGTTTCTCTTTTAAACTGAAGATTGCTGCACCTAGCTGAGCTGTGCTAGAAAAGCTGTGTGGAAGGCGCAGCTATTATCTAAATTATAGAGTTGCTATTTGTATCTCAAGGAAATTGAGAATACCAGAGGAAGGCAAACTTTCTCACAGAGAAAGTTTGAAATACTTTTTTTCCCAGTGGTCCTTCTTCGAAAATGTTTTGAGGGTGAATTTATAGTAGAAAATCTCCCATCCCATCACTAAAATTGAACTTCTAGTAAAGCACAGAATTGTAGATCCACATGAATGTGGACTTCAAATGTACATTGGAGAATTCAAAACAGGAACTGGAAACAGTGTTAGGTTTGTTGGGCGCAGAGGCATAAAATGTTCATTTGAATAGTCCCTTATTGTTATGCTTTGTGTTAGGAAATTTAATTTGATCGGTATCCAAGTCATTGCATGAGATTAAACAAGAGGTAGGTTATTAAAGAAAGACATTTTTCTCTGAACGTTACTAATATGGGATAACATTTCTAGTTTAGAGTTGAACTGTGGAGGTCTCTGAGCTTGATTATTGGAAAATGAAACATCTGGAAGAAAATAACCAAGCTTAGAGAACACCAAAAACTTCACATTTCTGAATCTAAAAATATAATGCAGTTCCGAAGAAACTTGGGTGCTAGTAAAGCTAACAGAGATAGACAAGATTGGGCTATTGGAAATAGAGAGTATGGATGAAGATGGATGGATAGAAAAAGTGTTTGACCAAGAGAAGCAAAGGGGGGCAACCCAAAAGCTGTAACACTTTCAAAAACACCTATTAACCTTTAAAAGAAAGCACTGAGAGCATTAGCACTACTGCAAGAAGAACCAGCTAGAATTCAGTTATCTGAAAATTAAATTCATGGCATTTGCCAAAAGCCCCAAGAGCCACTCTTGGAGCATAAATGGACACAAGATCAAGATGGTCTCTTCTTTCAGACAACTGGACTAGTCTATCATTCTGCCAGCAGTAGGAAGGCCACGTGGACTAAGTTGCTGAAAATGCACAAAAGAGCTCATCTGCTATCCTTTAATTCTGTAGAATGAAATATGGCCACTGCAGTAATATTATTATCCTTCTCATCTCCTCTACCCTCCTCTCTTATTGCTATCATTATGATGATGATTATTACTCTGTTGTTTTGCATGTACACTGAGAGATTCTGCACCAGAGACAAATTACTTGTGGGTTTAATCATACTTGGCCAAATAAAGTATGCTATATAACTGCAACATTCACATTATCAGAAGCCAAGTCAATACTACAACTTCTGTATAGTGCCCAGCTAGGCCCCCTTCTCCAATTTTGCACCATTAAGGTAAAGGTTCCCTTCGCACATATGTGCTAGTTGTTCCTGGCTCTAGGGGGCGGTGCTCATCTCCGTTTCAAAGCTGAAGAGCCAGCGCTGTCCAAAGACATCTCCATGGTCATGTGGCCAGCATGACTACATGCTGAAGGCACACGGAATGCTATTACCTTCCCACCAAATGTGGTCCCTATTTTTCTAATTGCATTTTTACATGCTTTTGAACTGCTAGATTGCCAGAAGCTGGGACAAGTAACGGGACCTCACTCTGTTATACGGGATTCAAACCGCCAAACTGCCAACCTTTCTGACTGACAAGCTCAGTGTCTTAGCCACTGCGATACCGTGTCCCTTTTTGCACCATTAGAACTTGTATAATTGAAAATTTGAAAAGGAGTCCTTCAAGTCTCAAATTGTGTGTCTAATGCCACCTTGCAACTAGAAACAGGCTTCATGAAAGTGGAGGCGAGAGTGTGGGTGACCATACTCAAACATTAGTCCTTTTTCCATGATTTTCAATCCACATGGAAATCTAGGCAGTGGCAACTAAAATCTCATCCTTGGGTTTCTTAAGAGGTCTTTGGCTCAAGCCGAAGCATTCATTAAACAGTATGTAGCAAATACAGAATGCCAGTTGGATCTAACCTTTATTGCCAGGGAATCCAGGAGGGACTCTGCCTCCCCACGTATCTAAACTTGAAACCATAAACACTGGAGGGGCTGGTACCCTGGCATGATATGGCAGTTGTCTGTGAAGGCCTATACAAGAAAAGTCCTTACCTGAAGAGACAGTGACTTTATGATTCAGAAAACATGGAAAGAACAGAGCATGTGCTTCTCCAGTGCCTATGTTATAGAGCTATCCATACTAGTCTCATCTCACCATTACTGCATAAATACCCAAGGCACACAGGGCAATTCCACACCTCCCTTCTGCTTACATGCATTGTTGCCAGGTTCTACACCACAGTACTCAAAATTCATTGGATGATGACCTGTGCCATCAATTAAACTTAATGAGCATCTAGTTTGCCTATTAGAGTACTATGTAATTTGAACTTTTTATGCTTCCTCGCCCTTCTAATGCTCCCTCCGCTCCTTTTAGATGCCTTTTAGACATACATGTATACATATACTTTCTGTTTTAATATGTTTTAGTTTTTTGTATTTTTTTCCTTATTTTTAGTTTCTAAAGTATCTTCCGTGCTATTTAATTGATTGTATCCAACCCACCCTATGCTGATCTAGAATGATAATAGAGGTTTGGTATGGTTTATGGATAATGCAAACTGTAGACCCACTTGACTTTGTTTTCTGGTTTCAGCTCAGTGTTCATGCTGGCGTTTTACCTATCCTGTTTTGTGATATTGACCACACTAGTGTTTGTTTCGGTCATTTACTCCTGTGTAAAGGTAAGTTGATTCCTGATGCACTGTTTTAATCAATTAATCACTTAAAACTCTAAAACAAGAGTTTGGATGGAAAAGGACTACATTAGGGAGTAACATGTTAGGAACCATATTTCAAAAAGAGAAACAATAGGAAAGCAGCGAAGAAAGTCAAGAGTTAATTTTTGATTAATTTTAAAGATAATTTAATTAATTAAATATGTTAATATAATTACTCCCCAAGTACTTAATACATTTTCCCATCAGAGCTCAGGAGCAGTTTTTCAGATGGCTTTTATGGTGTAAAAGTTATGTTCTGAAACAAGAAAATATTAAAGTGATAAGAGTTATAAGTCCCATACTTGTAAATTAATAGAAAGTTGACTTTAAAATTGGAAATTGCTCTCGATCTTAAAAAATGAGGTGAAGACAATAGGAAACACTTCTTCAAATATGAGAACCATTGTTTTTTTTTCAGTGAATGTCTGATAGGTTAGAAGCAATTTCCATCCTTTTGGAACATCAATTCACATGGTTTGATATTGTTCTACTGTTGCCACATTTGGGGCTGAAATCCATAGGATTTTTAATATAACTTCAGAGGAAAGATTGTGTTTCAATAACTTCTTTTCTTCTTTACATTTGGCATTTATCAGAACTGTGCACAGGGAATGGCTAACATAAATATACAGTATATATAGTATTGGAAAAATAAACCTCTGGTTTGCACTGTTGTGGATATGCATTGTTTACCAACATTTGACATTTTTTTTAACTGGCAGTTCAGAAAGAAGGCTTTAATAAAGCAAGTTGTCAAATTTGGGGGGATTGTTTCATGCATAATATAGATTTTCAGGCCTTGTAAATTGTATATCACATTGTTATCATTGTTGTATGCAAGCATACATTTGGTTGGTTTGAAAAAGGACAAAATTGTATGTTTACACAAGCAATAAATAGATATATATGTCCGTGCATCATCCATCATCATGACAGACTTCAGGTTAAAGCCAAGTAGGCAGTTGACTTTAGCCTGAAGGTCACTAAAGCCACCCTTCCTTCCAAAAATACAAATCTTTGCATCTGATGATGCCATCCGTCAATATAGCCTGAGGCGCCGTATATCCTTGACTCGCCCCCATCAGTTCCTTCCCCTTCTGTCTGCTGTACAAAACACAGTCACAACACAAATATTCTGATTTTCTTTACAAGGAGAAAAATGTCAGTAAGAAACTGTTAACTTTGGCGAACATTGGCTAATGAAAGACCCAATGACAAATCTAGCAGTTAAAGTTATGAACTCTCCAGCTTCTTGGCATGTTAACTTAAATGCTTAGACTCTGAACTGCTATCCAAAAGCATTTTGATGTAGACAGTCCTGATGGTGACCCACTCTGAAGCAACTCCTGCATTTCTGAGACAATCACCCATTTTCCGAATCACTCACCAGAGTCATTAAGCAAACACCCTGGTTGTAAATGCAAACCTGTTCTTCCACATGGCAATTTTTTGCTGGAAATCAACAAAAAACTGGCACAAATCATGATCACTTGACCAGAGGACATTGCAGTGGGTCATTCATGTGAGATGGTTGCCCAAATTGAGTTCACATGAATATGGGGAGGGTGATGGTCATAAGTGCGAGGAACAGACTTTTCAGCACTGCTTTTACTTTGAACGATTTGTAAACAAATGGTCGTAAGTCAAGGATTTCCTGTAATTTTGTTTTCAATGCAGTGCATTATTTATTTCTGCCAATATAAAATGGAGTGGTATTTCACTGTGATTCATCCATAACAGTAAGAGTTGCTGTTGTGCTATACTCTTAATTTAACCTCAAGAGAGTTGTCAAATATTGTGGTTTCGATTATCATCATCATCAGCAATATGATACTGCATTTTGCTGTGTCTCATACAACGTTCTTTTATGTCTCCTCCTTTCCAATCCATTCCTTTGCCTATGCTACAAAACACAGAGAAATTCTTTGTATTCGGTGGCGGGGAGAGTAGCAACTTAAAATAATCAACATTGCCATGGATTGTTCCCCTCTTCCTCTTTTTGTAAGAGTTGCCAGCAAATCCATGTTTCCTCTGGTCAAAGAGTTTCATAATTTGTGTTTGAAGGAAGTGAAAGTCCTTCTCTAACTGCAAAGGGGGGGGGTTGATGCCTTTAGTCATTGCTAAAAGACTAATTGGGTTCCCCTCTCCCTTTTTTAAAAAGAAATTTGCTTAGAAGCTAGTTGATGAAATAATAGTGATGTATATGGGAGCTGCTATTTCTCTTTTGTTTCCGGGTTTTTCTCTAGGAATGGCAGTGGAGAGGACTATGATGAGTTGAAATTAACACCCAGCAGGGAGGCTTTTAACTTCTATAGAATTCTTGCATTTGCATTCTGAGCTGAAAGTATCTGTTTGGTCTCCATGGATTTGTGACATTAAAAATGTGTGTGGGAGAGTTGAAAGGGGAGGGGGCACTTAACACCAAACAAAAACCTAGTGATAGTAAGAGAAAGAGAGAAGTGGGGGAGAGGTAGAAGAAGAAACAAAGGAGAAAAGTACTGTCAAGGCATGCCAGGATAAGAACCTCAGCACAAATACATTTCAGGGTGCCCAAATTCATTTGTCAACATTCTTTATTTATTCAAGATAATATTGATAACTATCGGTCCACTTTTGTATTTTTGATAATGTATCCATCTGTTTTTAGGATGATCTGATTTAATTATAGTTTGCTTGTTGTACGCCAAAGATATTTCTGAGTTTTTAGGGCATTTTCATATGTCAGCATTCATATCATCAATTGACTATTTTGTTTGCATTTGTTGTCCACCTAACCTTGATCTTCCTTAACCCTTTTTATATAAGAAGAGTCTAAATAGTTTACAGCTTGGAAGCAGAACAGAATGCTGAAGATTTTATAAGCATATTTAAGTTGATATATCTTTCTCGGATTAGGCTTTGATCACATAGGGAAAACAAGGGTCATAAAACATTGTTTAATTTTAGATGCCATTCTCTGATTTTCACCTAAAATCTATTATAACTGCCAGGGAGAATGAAGTGAATATAACAAGTTATAGTTATTCAGCAATTATATATTCCTGATGCAAAAATTACATCGATGTGGGGAGAGACAGTTGGCCATTAATTTATTCTTGGGCAATTAAATATTAATGCCTGTAGCATTTCACCATGCCATTGTTAGAAGACATGTCCATCTGGGCTCAGTCCCAAGTGGGGAGAAAGACACTGGAAGCATGGAGACTACTTGGAAGGATGGTTTAATGGTGAACAGGACCACATGGGTTTGAAGTCCTGGGTAGGTGACCACATGGAGGATAGCTAACTTTGTAGGTGTCCTAGGCTTGGTTAAATCTTGCTGGGTGATACAATGAAGGGCAATTTCCTATTGTTGCTGAATGACTTTGCCCTGGAGGATAATTCCATCATCCTGGAACTGAGGTCTTTTGTTTTGTAGATACACTGGCGTATTCTTTTGTCTTGTAGTTAAGCTGGCACCAAAATATCTGCTGGAGAAAAAGAACTGGAATCTTTTGTTTGTTTCCTTTAAGATGTTTAATTCTCTTTTAGAGGAAATATTCTGCCTTTTTAATATTTCCTAGAATATTTCATTCTTCTAGGAGAGGGGTGAGTGCTAACACCATACACAATATTTGTACAAAGTCATAGTTTTAAATATTTTATTTTCTCCCTCAATACAGCTGTTTCCAGGTCCACTCCAGACTCTTTCACGGAAGATTGTTCAGTCCAAAACCAATAACACCCTAGTCGGGGTCTTCACTATTGTATTGGTTTTCCTCTCAGCCTTTGTCAATATGGTATGCTACATTTCCCTTTTGTAATTGAACTTTAGTGTGAATTATTAATACTGCAGAAGCTGAAAGCAAGGCCTCAGAATCTTTCAAAATGTTTTCAAAATAATCGTACAGTATATTTAATTTGATTAGATTTAATAAAGAAAAAATAAATTTTACTTTGTACATACCTCCCTTCCTTGCCCCAAACTATTTGTTAGAATATATCACTACAGGCTATACAGTATACTGTCTCTTTTGTAACAGACATGTAATTTGATTTTAGTAGAATAATTCCTTAAAAACTTAGGGATATGCATTAATCCTTCATAAACCTCTCTAACCCCTGGTTAAAACCATATAAAGTGTCACCTTTATGTCAGCAAGTACCATTTGACCATGCGGTGCAGGAGGAAATATTTCTTTGTTTCTTCTTAAGCTCTTCACAATTTATCTTCAATGGAGTGTTGGAAGAAATGTCCATCTGGGTTCAGTTTCAAGTGGGGGAAAAACCACTGGATTCATGGAAGTTGCTTGGAAATAAGGTTTATTGGTGATGGACAGGACCACATGGTTTGAGATTCTGAGGGAAAAGGGAAGAGATGCTGAGAGTGCCCTGGTTTTATGCCTTCTCTGGACTTTTGAATTTGAGCTTGTATTCTGATTGGTTGCCAGACTCCCATGGGACGATGCAGGGGCAACTCTGTAGGCTATCTTGAGTCCCAGGCTTGGTTGAGCCTTGCTGGATGATGTAATATTCTACCCATCTCATGTGATGAGATGGGTAGAGGGCCTAGGGCGATTCCTACTATGGTTGTGCCTGAAAGAGGTAGATCTTTGTTCTGTAGACCAGACTGGCTCAGGCCTTTATGACCCATTGACAAAGATGGTGGTGGTGGCTGAGTTTCTGCCTCCCTTTTAGGAGAAATATTCTGCCCTTTTAATATTTCCTAAAATATCTTATTTTTCTAGGACAGGGGTGGGTGCTGACTTCCTAACACTATAGGGATATGCATTGGTATAAAAAACTACCCCTGTATACACTGTGAGGTGCAAACAATGTTGCTTTGATTATTTTTCTCCTTGGATTTGTCTTTGTTTGATGTTTATCTCTTGTTTTCCACCAGTTCACCTGTAGTACTGTGGACCTTGTCAACTGTATAGCTGCAGAGCATAATCTCACTCCTCCTGAGGTGAATTTGTGCCATATTAGGGATTCCAATTATAGCCTGGAAACCACAGAAGGATTCTGTGCTACTTCCCAGCCAAACTGTAACTTTCCAGAGGTATTTGCTTTGTGCTGTAATGTGGGTGCCTTTGTTTTGGGTAATAATGGTGTAACATCCTGTCGGGTGCCTTCCTTATTGCATTGGTTTTTCTCTCAGTCTTTATCAAGATAGTCTACTAAAGTGGCATCCTCTGCTTCATAGTTGAAACAGGGCTTGGGTTTTTGTACTTTTGTCTGCCACTCAACTCTTAATCCCTCTGTATGATCTTTGGAAAGAATCCTTCATGTTCCATACAGTGACATCATGAAACCTCCTTCAGGATGAGGAATGAATAATCTTATTTCAGATTGTTCCTGCATGTAATCGAACTCTTTGTAAAATTATAACACCACAGGGAAAGCATTAGCATAGTTCCCTTCCGAATTGCCGCTTTCTATGCAATGAACTGGGAGCTTTGCTAAGTGATAGGACACACATCCTTTTATATAAAATTAAATGTATTCATAACGCAAGATGAGATTATTGAGTAAATTTCAAGAACACAATCAATTGCTAGGCAGTCCCATTCCTGAACCCACAACCTTAAAGCAGTATGTTTTTCCAAATGAACTGTGTAGAGGTTTCTCTATGTATTTCAGCCTGCAGAAATTGTATTTAGGGGTAGGGGGAAGAGATCACCATGGGATGGGAGATTCAGCAAGACCTCTGTGGACCTTCTCCTATGAGTACAAAGATCGTAGCTCTCTAAATACTTACTTGGACATTATTCCCACCCAAAAGAATAAGGTTATGTATGCTAACATATGTACAGAATTGCAGCGTAAATCTGCCCGGCTTAAAAAGACTCCAGTCTATTCCATACTTGTGAAAGTATTTTGGGGACCTCTGTAGGTTCCGCACAATCCTGGAAAAAGTTATTGAAGGAACTGTAGAGGAGTTGCTTTGAAGCAGCGGTGAAATCCTCTGAAGTCTGCTACCAGTTTGGTGAGTCTGCTACTGAGCATGCGCTTTGCGCGCATGCGTGCCTGAGGCACGCCTGTGCAGCACTAAAAAAGGAACCTTTTGAAGCCTTCTGAGTCTGCAAAGGTAAGTAGAACAGCGAAGGGGGGGAGGGAATCCACTGTGCCACACGATTTAGATTAGCTAGAAAGCAGGAAATCCAACGATTTAGCTAATATTAATCGTGCATCACAGCTGATCGTTTGAAATACCGGTTTGCCTGAACTGGTAGCATTTTTTACTACTAGTCCGGGCGAACTGGTCCAAACCAGTAGCATTTCACCCCTGCTTTGAAGCATGGAGGGCAAAAATGTACCACAGCTGCATCTTTTCTGGGGACTGTAGGTTGGCCTTCCGCAACTGCTCTATAATCTCAGAAGTTCTAGTTGGTTTAAGGACCTTCATAGAGGAACCACATTTGCATCTTTAGGCAATTCAAAGCAACTTTTGCCTTGAAATCCTAACCTTCTGCTTTAAGGAGCTGCAGACATGTTTGTGTTCCTGCATGCTGCAAAGGGACCTGGTGTACATGCATATATAATACACAAACACATGCATACGTATGTGTACTGACACAGGTATACCTCACACAGAGCTGGAGGGTAAGCTTTTAAAAGAGATGGCTCTTTTCTGACACTGAAGAATATATCTGATATTTCTTCATATCACTGGGAATGTGGGCTAATACTGCATATTATCAGATAGCAGTTTGGGCTGGAAAAAAAACATTACATAAACTTCTAAACTCGGTTTTTTTCCCCCTGGGGCCTAAAATGTGTTTATATTCTATTTCCCTGTGTGGTCATTTGCAGTTGTAAAATGCTATTTTGTTTTAGAAGTCATTTCAAAAACAATGTTAGTGTCAGTTCCTGCGGAGGCCTTCCAGGAGGCCCATTTTTACCCCTCCCCAAGCCTCCATGTGGGCCCTGCACTTACCTTGCATCCAAAACAGGCTGCGTGGAGACTCCTGGGAGGGGTGGGATAGGTGGGGCGGGGCCAGCCAGGGATGGGATTTGGAGGTTCTCTAAACTGGCCATAACATTAGCTACAGGTTCTCCTGAACCTGGGCAAACGTGTAGCAGCACACTCCTGCATAGGTCTCCTGGAAACTAAGCCTTTCTTAGCCTGTGCTGGCCTCATGATGGAGAATCTTGAAACTGAGGAATCTTAATTTGCAGCTAAGGTATTTATAACTGTGTATTGTAAATCTGCTAAGATGACCTTTGGTTTACAGAAATTATTTTCTCTTGTTCTTATTTTCATTCCCCCCAATCCCACACACAGTACTTTACCTACAGTGTTTTACTGACCCTCCTGGCCTGCTCCGTGTTCCTTCAGATCAGCTGCATCGGGAAACTCATTTTGATGTTGATTATTGAATTTATATATGTCCTCATTGTGGAAGTGCCAGGCCTTACCCTCTTCGATAACGCAGACCTTCTGGTTACAGCCAACGCCATGTAGGTAAACATAAAGAATCCATGGAGGATTGGGAGCAGGGGAGGGGGGGAGGTAGCCATGGTTGGTGGTGTGAAATTCTCCTGAACAACCATGTGAATTGATATATTTTAGTCTAAACTGGACCATTTCAATTGACATGTATCACTGAACACTTTTCATTTTAAAAAATCAAAATGTGGATGGGAATCCCTGCAAAATGGTTGCCTTTCCATTGCTCCATATAATATTGACAGGAAGTTATTTGGAGTGACTAGTTGGATCTATCACACTCCACTCTCAAACCAGCTCTGAGTAGGCAGGACGGAGTCTCAGGATTTTGTCCAAGGGCCCCATATAGGAAGGCCTGTTCCCATAAATCTTACTCGAATCAGCCAAAAATTCCAATGCCAGGCGTACAAGAATTCAGCATTACTAGAGGTGGAAAAGGTAATTCTGTGGGCAAATTTGGGCTTGCAGGATTTCTTTAAGATCGACATTAAGGGATCAAAAAGATGCCTTCTAAATGTGCAGTGCATAAACCTCCTTCGACACAGAGGGGCTTCCTTTCAAACAGCACACACACTGGATTGTGTTGCCTGGATGTGCTAATGACTCATTAATTTGACTAGTGACTCATTAGAGCTGGCTTCCTGCTCTGCAGAATTTTGATTCCTTTGTTGATTAGCTACCCCACTGTTATCATATTATTTAGCCCAGTAATGTTTTATTATTTTCATAATGCCCTTAAAATACCCTGTCTAGCCATTTTGATTGAACTCTTGTAAATGAGTAATGCATCAAAAAAAAAAAAGAAAGAAAGAAAGTAAAAACTTTCTCAGCCAGAAATACAGAAGGGGGAGGGGAGGGTGTTTATGGTTTTAATTGCTTTGCTGAGATAATCCACCTGAACATAATTTTTCTCTTCCTATAAGAGAAAATTGATGGCAAATTAGAAGCCGTCGTTTGAAGGAGTAATCTGAAAACAAACCCTCTTTTAGAAATTTTACAGTGCCAGGAATTTTGAGCAGGCTAAATTAGAGCACTTTGAAGCAATTACTTGCATCACCTCACAATCAAGATGTCAGGAATAAGGTGAAGTAAATAAGCACATCTTTTTCAAGAAATAAATGTTGGAGCTGCATTTTGCTACTTATTAACTTTTGTTCTGAAAGCGCTTTTAATAGTATAGCACTTAGATTTATATACCGCTTCACAGTGCTTTACAGCCCACCCTAAGGGGTTTACCAGGGTCAGCATAATTGCTCCCAACAATCTGAGTCCTCATAATAGCTAGGACTCACTACTTAGCATACTATTTATAACTGGTGGGAAACTTTTAGGACAGCCAAGCACAGCTTAGGTGCACTTGCTTCCCGATTCAGGAAGCCCAATTCTTCTATGGAGATCCAATGTGGTATAATAGTTAAGGTGTACTAGGAATGGCATATTCTACTCTACTCTCAACTATAGAAGCTTCCTTGGTGATTTTGGGCTAATCATTCCTTTCCCTCACAGAGATTTGAAAAAAGAGGTCTTGCCACACTTAGTTACAAATTCATTGGGGGTGTCTATGTGAAGGAGAAGTGGCTACCATTACCCTTACAGAGGATGATGGTTATGTGGAAAAGAAGAAAGTGGAATTAATTGAATTAATATGGATTCCTGATCCACCAAACTATAATGATACCTTGGAACTCAACTACTTCGAAACTCATTGAATTTAGTACACATTTTGATGTGAACATTTTGTCCCCACTACTCCTCCTTTGTTGGTACTCAATGCATAAGTTAGAACTTGTTGGTGTCCGATGCTTTATTGTTGGTCTGAGATTAACTTTAGAATTAATCTATGATGATCTGGGTGCTGATTACTGGTGGAGAGGTGCTGGGGTCTTTTTGTTCTCTTTTGAGCTGGTTGATTGTCTCTTTTGCATAGTCTATAGATGTTGTTAATATCTATGTGTCTATTGATGGCTGATTTGTCAGAGTGCCAGACTTCTAGGATCCCTCAATGAAATAATAGTTTAGTAAATATAAAGTTTCATGTTTTCCAAATAATTCCAAATAATTTGGCCTTAAAAGGGATTTTGTTAATGTAATATTTCACAACCAATACATTATGCCTATTTAGGTATAGATATCTTTAGGTTTACACATCACTGGGATTATTTGTTTAACTTCTAAGCAGAGTAAGATATATGATGTCTTGTCTTACTCTGTAATTTTCCTTCTAATCCTTCCCAGTAAATCCAAAATTAAATTAAATTAAATCCAAAAGGTACATTAAACCTACAGTTAACCATACTCATAGAACAAATTCTTTCCAAATGGTTATGGCTCCCCATAGTGTCCAAAGTGAAAAACTGAAAGAATGTTATTATGGAGCAATGCACATTACATCTCTGTACTAAATGTATGCTTCTTTAATTTATTTGCATATTGAATCAAATGGAACTTGGGATGCTTTCTAGAAAAACAAGGTAGGGGAACATTTCGGAAATTATTTTCAACCTTTTTATCAACCCTCATCATAAGAAGTGTCACTATTTTCTTTTGTGTTTCAAAAGTGTTGTGTTTATGTGCAATTATGTTTAAATGTCCCCTGGGAAGCTGGTGGTGGGTTGTGAACATTTCACTATGGATCATTGATGAGTGTGTGTGTGAGAGAGAAAGAGGTGGGACTTTGAAGGAAGCAGCCACTCAATGTTCTATGCTGCTGCTTAAATGCATCTCTCGTAGGGATGTTCTGGGGAATTATTTTCTGCGTATTTCTTCTGCAACCTCTAGCTAGATCTGGCAAATTTTCATACCCAAAATCTACACCCACCCCCCACCCCAATCCCAGATTTGTTCCTGTTCAGGACAGTTTTTCCTAAGTTACTTTGTTAATGGGCAGATAGACAAGAGCTCCTGTATGTGATTGCATTCCAGCATCTCATAGCATGACTGTGTTTCAACCAGATGGTTAGCAGGTTGAATTTACGGATGGTTTTGTTTGTGATGGATGGGGCTTAGGAAAGAATGCAGTTTTGTTGAACGAATTGGTTACATTCCAGACAGGAGAGATAGGTGTGCTCAAGTGTGCCTCAACTACATGCAGTGCTCATAAGTAAGCAGGCTATGGTCATTTATTTGATGCAAAGGAAGAAGATAGTTTCCTTGGGGATATGTGGGGAAGGGAACATGTAACTCAGAACAATTCTTGTACATCCTTTGTGTTTTTAAATTTCTTTGCCACTTCACAACAGGTCAGTGTGTGCATCCCATTCTGCCAATGGGGAGACAAGGCTAAAATACAGCAGTTTAGTGAAAGAAGATATGAGGCTAACTTGGCTCAGAACTCTAACTCTTACCAATGCAAGTGATGTCACAGAAAAGAATATGTGAAATTGGAAAAAAACAAAAACAAAACCAGGGGCTAATGATCGTCTCAAAGGTGCTTTTTCAAAAGGCAAACTCAACTGGTTTTCCTTGAGGAAGAAGAAAACCTTTCGCTTCTCATCCAAGAAGCCTCATCAGTTGCGATTCATTCATTGGATGAGAAGCAAAACATTTTCTTTTTCTTCCTTGAGGGGAAAAAAACATCCAGTTGCCTTTTGAAAAAGCACCTTTGAGACAACTTTGACCTGATGACTGAGAATCTCCACAGTGGTGCTAATGATGGATAAAAGAAACGAAATATATCTTTGTTTTGCCTAAAATATGTCCTTCTTGTTCTTTCAGTATGTTTTCCAATGAGACTGAGAATGGAATATGGTGAGTTAATGAAGGACGATGTAATTGCATTTTCAACAATTACTCTAGAATCTGTGGAAGCTTGTATTGGTGCAGATCTGTGGCTCAAGATGCTGCACTAGGACTGTAGGTGGTTGTATTCACTCTTTAAACCAGGATACACCTGATCTTTTCCTGGATCAGGAGTCCTTGCACTCAAGTCCTGGTCACCTCACATCTGGACTATTGAAATGCATTCTACATGGAACTACCTTTGAAGAGCATTTGGAAGCTTTAACTGGTGCAAAGTATGGCAGCACAGGCAATTTTTGGAGTCCCTAGGACAGTGATGGCTAACCTTTTCGGCAGTGAGTGCTGAAAGCCTGCACGTGCACACCCATAATGCAATGCGCACGCTTGTGCCGGGGGCAGAGCCCAGGGGGGTGCGCATTGCATTATGGGTGCCCCCGCCCACGCACATGTGTGCATGACCCCCATGTGCATGCACAATCCCCCCATACGTGCACCCCACTCATGCACACGTGTCTTCTGCATGAGTCCCACACTCCCGTGCATGCGCCAGAAAACCCCCAAAACCAGCTGGCCGGCAGAAGGCACCTGCACATGTGCACTGGAGCTGAGCTGAGCTGGGATGGCAGCTTGCATGCCTGCAGAGAGGGCTCTGAGTGCCACAGGTTCGCCATCACGGCCCTAGGATGACCCATGTTACTATTGGTCAAGGAATTCTAGGGCCGTCTCTCCTGTGGCTCCTGCCCTTTAGACCGTCTTACTCCGTGAGGTGAGATTGGCTCCTACCCTTCTGTCCTTCCGCAGGAGTCTGAAGACCTGGATCTGTTAGATGGCATGGGGTCCCAAATGGGGAGCATCACTTGGAGGTGGTTGTTGAATTAAGAGGCAATCCCATCTCCCCCCACCCGGGGGAATCCTGTTCTCTCCCTCCCCATCTTTTAACTAAATTTTATCTTAATTTCTTTAAAAAAAAATTTTAACAATATTTTTTTCTAAGGATTTTATTTGTTAGGATTTTAAAGTCACCCAGAGTTATTTTGTTGTGAGATGAATGGCAAATAAATTCAATAAATAAACAAACAAATACATTAACACACGCAGAACATGGAGAAATTGCACTCTAAGCCCTCTGCGAGCATTTCTAGGGGTGAGAAATACTGGAAGGCTTGATTTGACAGCACAAGAAGCATTATGTTCTTTATGCTTGAGTCACTGTTACATTATAATTTTCAGATTTGTGCATTTTGTTTCCTGTATAGTCCTTCCAATGTGTCCAGGGTTGCTTTGAAGATTGTAACCCCTGTTGTCATCACTGTTTTTGTCTTGGCGGTCTATCTACATGCACAGCAGGTGGAATCCACAGCGAGGTTGGATTTCCTTTGGAAGCTTCAGGTGGGTATGTCTGCAGGTGTTTATTCTTGCATGCCTGTCTTTAATATTATATTAGAGTGCCTTCTTATGATCAGTACATGATTGCTGCTCATGCTGTTATTTTGTTGTGCTCATAAATCAGAACTAGAATTCTTAGATCAGAGGAAACTTATACAGAATTTCTTTTTCATTTCATGATCACAGATACCTTGCTATGGAACATGTAATCTACAGGCGGCTGATCGGCACCAGCTTAGTGTAGTGGACCCATAGCTTAGATGAAGAAAACTGACAAGCATATTCCACACGGAACATTTGTGTGGGAAAACGTGTTATATAAATATTGGAAATTGAGTAAATGAAGAGTATTGTAATTCAGTGGGAGTCCTTTTCAAAAACTAATTAATTACGTTTTCTCGATTAAATTATGTCTCAAGGATAACAATTTTGGAAATTTTGCTGCTTTTACAAACATCTGTTGATGATTTCTTCTTCATAGAATTCTACTCCTATTGATCTGATCACCAAACTGAATCAGAACTCAAAACGAAGCTTCCACCAATATTTGAGAGTCCAATTTTGAGGATATAATTAATAATTTCAGTAATAGGCCTTCTATGTACGCTTAAAATTAGAACCCAATGAAGTGTATAATGTGATTCTGTTGACACCAGTCTATTAAGATCCCATGCATATTTATTTCCAGCCCATTTCCCACATAAATGAAGTTAACTTGCAGCCACCTCCTTGTCTCTCTCTTCAGGCTACTGAAGAAAAGGAGGAGATGGAGGAGCTGCAGGCCTACAATCGACGGCTTCTCCATAATATCTTGCCAAAGGATGTAGCAGCCCACTTTCTTGCACAGGAGCGGAGAAATGATGAACTGTATTACCAGTCCTGTGAATGTGTGGCTGTCATGTTTGCTTCCATCAGCAACTTCTCCGAATTCTATGTGGAGTTAGAGGCCAACAATGAAGGGGTGGAGTGCTTGAGGCTCCTCAATGAAATCATTGCTGACTTTGATGAGGTGAGCAAATTCAAGGAGAACAATGGTCTCTTTCAGGTTGAGGACCGATCACTATATAAATATCCTGTTCCACACAATATTGCCTTTGACACTTTGGGGTGTCTAGGTTCGTGGGGGGGGGG